CAAAGGAACAAAACGCCCAGGTCATTCAGACCATAAATGAAGCACAAGCTTTAATTTATGATTCATTAGTTAAACCATATTCAGCCCGACTTTTAAATGAAGATCAACTTTTGGAATTCATCCTTCAACATAAACTCGAAGCGGGAAAGTATATCAAACCTTTATATACAGCATATTTAAAACAAATGAATAAAATACATCCAGAATTAATGAAAGAAGGAATGAAATCCAAAACTTCATCATCCAAAATCAAAGCAGATAAAATTAAACCACTTGCAACCCCAAAACCTCCAACAGTAGTACCTCCAACAGTAGTACCTCCTCCTCCTTCAGTTAATCCTTCATCATTCACTTTATTATATCCATTTCAAACATTAAAGAAGCAAAAAGATTTTAAAAAAGATTTCAAGATATTAAATAAACCAATTGACCCAAAAATTCAACCGTTAAAGAAAAAATTTGGTCGCCCTTCATTTGCACCATATCCATATTCATACGAAATCGATCATTTAGAATATTCAAAAGGAAACGTTACTTATTTATTTGCCATTAACATTAACACAAGATATTTATATTGCATTCCGGTGAAAGGGAAAATAGAACAGGAAACAAGAAGAGCTATTCAATACTTACTAGATCATGAAAGAGTAGATAATATCAGGGGTGATGGTGATAAAGGATTTCAGGCAGCTATGGCTCATTATTTCCCACAAATTAATTTTTACTTTTCATCCTCTTCATATACGTTTCATAATAAAATAGTTGATGCAGTAATGAGAACTCTTAGAGATGCGTTAGGGGTTAACGGTCAGATATACTGGGATGGAAATCATGACTCCATCATACAGCAGTTAGTATATTATTACAATAATACATGGCATAGAACTATAAACATGAAACCAGTGGAAATGAAAAATGATATTTCAAAAGAATGGAAATATATTAGAAAGCAAATGGAAAGGTTAAATGATGTTAAACGTGAACAAATTAATTCGGGGCTCATGAATTTTAAACAAGGGGATAAAGTTTTGATTCATCTCGATTATGGAAAAACTGATAAATCAATGACAAAAAGAAGACGAAGATTTGACACAATAGCTGGATTTGTTAGATATATTAACGGTAATGTATTAGTTGAGGTTAACAATAAATTAATAGAAATTCCGATTTATTTTATTACTCCATTATATTTAAATAACATTTAATTTTTTTTTATTTCGTAAGAAATGAGTGACAACGAAGCAACCAAGAGTCCAGACGATGAATATAAAAAGAAACTAAACAGGATTAAATCAAAAATATGCTATTGCAAAAAGAAGCAGCAATGTGGTGGGGTTGAAAATGATAAAGAAATAATCGAAAAATTAAAAACTTACCGTTCAATCCTTAAACTGAGTGAAGCAAAAATAAAAGAATTTAATAGAATAAATAAATTGATTGGAAGAGATGAATTTAATAAAGATGAATTTTTAAACTCAATCCAAATTTAATTTTTATTCCTCATCTTCTCTGTTTTTCACACATTTTTCCAACTTCTTCTTCAAACAAATGTTTAGCATTCTCTACTGTATCTTCGAGTTCTTCTTCATCTAACTTCTCATGAACTTTCTTGTCTATGGAGTCCATAATTTTTCCAACTGCTATGCAATACGTAACTGTTTGTTATATTGTATGTACTCGTATTCCTCATTTATGGCTTCATGGACTATAACTGTTGTTGTGTTCTCTGATGTTGTCATTACTGTCTTTACATACAAAATAAAAAAATAAATAAAAATAAAACTAACTTTATTTTCTGACTTTCACAAAAGACCAAAAATAAACGCTTTACATGTATTTTTCAGCAACTTCGTCAAATAATTTTATAGCTTTATCTATCTCATCTACTTCAAACGTTTCTTTACCTTTCGTGGGAGCACCATACATTTTCTCAAAAACTTCAAGCAGTTCTGTTTCAGCAGCTCTCATATCATTAACAAACACAACCTTGACTCTATTGACTGTACTGTCATATCTTTGAGTTATATTATATGTCCTTCCTATCTTATATCTTTTTGTGTTGAAGTCCTTCGGTTTCTGAACGATGTAAAGTAAGCCTTCACTGCAACGTTCCGTATCGAATGAACCATATGTTATGAAGTTATATCCAACAACTGGGTCTAACCATAACAAAACTATTGGTATAAGACTTTTGTCTATAAGATATGCTCTTGTTCCATGAAATGCTACTGATATCATAAGCTCGGGATTTCTTGTCAAAATTTTCTGAGTTGAAGCATTTCTAACCCAGTCGTTTGTTTTCTTTTCAGATGGAGATATAATGTCTGACAAAGAATATTTGTTGTATTTCTTTGAGTATCTTACGTTTAAATCACCTATTCTAACCACTTTGGTGTCATTGTCTATCTTTCTAACTGTTTCAAACTCAATGTTTGTCATTACTGTCTTTACATACAAAACGAAATAATAAATAAAAATAAAATTAGCGTTATTTTTCTAACTAATGAAATTCATTATTTTTGAATAACTGATAGGGTCACCAGGTCACCAGGTCACCAGGTAATTTAACTTTTCTGAAAAAATGTGACAACATGACATTTTGACAACAACATAGGTTCTTCAATAATGCTTCATGAATGCCTTCCTCATTAATGTTTTTAGGTTCTTCAATAATGAATTATTTTTGAATAACTGATAGGGTCACCAGGTCACCAGGTCACCAGGTAATTTAACTTTTCTGAAAAAATGTGACAACATGACATTTTGACAACAGTCGTGGAAATATGATGCAGTCCAAAAATAAAGTTAGTTTTAAAATTATTTTTATTTTTTTATTTCTATATAAATGACAACAACAAACAACAACAGCAACTATATCGTTTCTGATGAATTAGTTATTGATTCATTAGTTGAGGAATTAGCTGATTCATTGGTTGATGAAAAAGTTGATTCATTAGTTGATGAAAAAGTTATTGATTCATTAGTTGAGGAATTAGTTGTGGCAGAAACTAAAACCCTTAACGAAAGAATTGGTGAAAACAAGATTGATTTACATAACTACCTCAAATACGATGGAGGAAGAGGAAGGAAAACTGGTATGGCTTTATTAGTAAATAAAATTCTAAATTTAACGATTATAGATGTTGATATCAATAAATCGTACAATGATGAACTTAAAGAAACAGTTAGAAAAGACATTTTATCAAAACTTTCGGATAAAGATGTTATCGTTAAAACCGCTTCAGGAGGTCTTCACATTTATTGCAACACTAATTTCTTCTATGCAGTTTCGAACAGAATGATTAAATGTTATTCCTGCAATGATTATGATATTGACATAATGACTTCAATGATGATTCAAAGCGTTCTTTAGTAGTTATGGCTGATTCAAGAGTTCGCAAGAATGCAACAGAACCAATCAATACATACTCATTCATTCGTGGAAGTTATGATTCAACATTAACAGAACAGTGAATGATATATTAAATGATTTGAATATTAAGGTAAGAGTTGAACAGAAGAATGAAGAAATAAAGACTATATGAATGAAAACAAAGATGTAAACATTGACGATAAACTAGCTCAGAGCATAGTTGATGGCATCTGTGATTTTGAAGTACATAATGACGGTGGAAACATGAATTTAGAAAAAGAAATAACATTATTCACACTGTTTCAAGCTATTAATTCGTTACCTGATCATTTGATTAATGAAGCATACGATAACGTTTATAACTTCTGCAGTTTAACAGAAAATGCAAAAAGTAATTTTGAAAAAGCACGTGGTAGATATGCACATTTAATGACTTCTCCATTTGTTTTGGTGAAGATTCTAAAACTATATCAAAAGGAATATTATGATGAATATGTTTTGCCTTTATTACGTAAGCCGAAAATAACATTTGACATCAAACTTGACGACTCGTTTTTGATAACAGATATTAGACGCAAGGCTGAAAATCATCAGTATAAAAACAGTTCTGAAGTAATTGAGGATTTATCACGTGTAATCCGTTTTGTAGATTGTGGAAACAAATATTTCATTCAGAAAGATTACAACATACACGACAAAATGAATCAAATATCATTCGTTCTTCAATCAAACATGAAAGAGTCACTAAAATGATTAAATTATTTAAAGAAGAAGGTAAAACAATAACAGCATGGGATGTACTATTAAATCAATTGTCTTCATTAACCGTTAAGGGTGTTTGCTTTAAATCTGATTCCCCGATGTTTTCTCAACGTTTCAGGGTTATAAATACAACATTCTTGAAAAGCTTGATTACTCAAAAATTGAGATGTTTATGAATTTCATTAAAGAAGTCATTTGTGATAATAATGAAGAAGTGTATAAATACCTTCTCGGCTGGATTGCATCAATGATTCAACATCCTGGAATCAAGAATGAAACAGCAATTATTTTGAAAGGACTTCAGGGAACAGGTAAAAACAGATTTACAGACATTATTTCTGAACTTCTCGCTGGTTATTCATGCAAAAACATTACTGAAATAGGTGAGCTAACGGGTAATTTCAATTCAGTAGTTGAGAATAAAATGCTTCTTGTACTTAATAAACTCAAGAATGTAGGTGAAGACAGACTCGCAAACTTCAACGCTTTAAAATCAATTATAACGGATAATGAGATAAGAATTAATGAAAAGAATCAACCCAGAAGAACTGCTCAGAATGTTGCCAATTTCATTTTCGTAACTAATAACGTTTACCCTGTCAAAATTGAAGTTGGAGACAGAAGATATGTAGTTTTAAGAGTTAATGGTAAATTTAAGGGTCAATTTGATTATTTCAAGAATTTGATGAATTCATGCACAAAGGAATTTTATGATAATTTACTGACGTATTTTATGCAATATGACCTTTCATCATTTAATGTACGAATCATTCCGATGACTGAAGCCAAACAAGATTTAATTGAATTATCAACAAATCCTTTAGATGTATGGATAAATACACATTATGATGAATTGTGTGTAGGTATGACGTGTAAAAATGCTCTATTCTGCAAACCATCAGACATGAAAGACAAGAATTTCCAAATGAGTATTAAGGATAAATGTGATAGGAAACAAAGAAAAATAGATGGTAAACAGACATGGTATTATGTTTTGAAAGAAGAAATGAAAGGATTATATAAACAGGTTGAACCAAACGATAATGATGATTCATTTACTGACGATGAAATACCTGTAAATGATGCTTTATAAAATGTGACTTGAATTTATTTTTGCCATCCTCCTATGTTGTTGTCAAAATGTCATGTTGTCACATTTTTTCAGAAAAGTTAAATTACCTGGTGACCTGGTGACCTGGTGACCCTATCAGTTATTCAAAAATAATGAATTGCCATCCTCCTATGTTGTTGTCAAAATGTCATGTTGTCACATTTTTTCAGAAAAGTTAAATTACCTGGTGACCTGGTGACCTGGTGACCCTATCAGTTATTCAAAAATAATGAATATTGCCATCCTCCTATGTTGTTGTCAAAATGTCATGTTGTCACATTTTTTCAGAAAAGTTAAATTACCTGGTGACCTGGTGACCTGGTGACCCTATCAGTTTCAAAAATAATGAATATTGCCATCCTCCTATGTTGTTGTCAAAATGTCATGTTGTCACATTTTTTCAGAAAAGTTAAATTACCTGGTGACCTGGTGACCTGGTGACCCTATCAGTTATTCAAAAATAATGAATATTGCCATCCTCCTATGTTGTTGTCAAAATGTCATGTTGTCACATTTTTTCAGAAAAGTTAAATTACCTGGTGACCTGGTGACCTGGTGACCCTATCAGTTATTCAAAAATAATGAATTATTGCCATCCTCCTATGTTGTTGTCAAAATGTCATGTTGTCACATTTTTTCAGAAAAGTTAAATTACCTGGTGACCTGGTGACCTGGTGACCCTATCAGTTTCAAAAATAATGAATTATGCCATCCTCCTATGTTGTTGTCAAAATGTCATGTTGTCACATTTTTTCAGAAAAGTTAAATTACCTGGTGACCTGGTAGCAGTGAAATAAAATTTTGTTATCAGTTATTTTATCATCGTTTTATTAAGTTCATCTTTAGTTAATAATTTGAATGGATTCGCTAATGTTCCACCTTGAGTCACAACACCTGCCCTGGCTAATTGTGAAGAACCTGGGATAAGTACTCCATGAAATGATTTCATTGGTATCATTAATTTAGAAATAGTTGGCTTAATTAATTTTGTCATTTATGATAAAAATAAAATTGCATAATTTAAATTTTTCTTTCTCATTTTCTCATTTTTTATCCTGTTTTGGTTTCAGCAACTTTTCAAGTTGTTGTCTTGTCAGTAACTTTAATTTTAACTTTGGATCAAATATTGGGTTTCCATCTTTATCTCTTCCAATAACACCATATGGTAGAATCTTCATTTATACTAAAATAAAAATTTAAATTATGCTGTTCGCTCTTTTTGGAGCTCAGGACTTTCAGTCCGTTCTAAAGTTTGTTTTACAAACATTGAGCGTTCATTGAACTCTATACCATGCGTAAACTGTCATGTAAGGTGGCATGTATTCTTTACCTTGTCCCGTTGTTTGTGTATATCCTGAAACGAAATGTGTATGGTTTCCTTCTCCCTGAGTGTCACTCCAGTAACAATTTATAGCAAACTTAACGTCGTCTTTAACATCATATCCTTTACCTTTTGTCATTCCTGACCAATCCCAATATCTATGCTTATGCCAACCTGCCTGAGATGTACTTAAATCTATGTAGTGACTGTGTGCAGGTAAATTTTCACCTGAAATTGTTTTACTTCCACCTGTTTCTTTTGAAGAGTTTGCACAATACAAAAACCTGTCTACAATCTGTTCCCATGCACCAACACCAAACATTACTTGAGGACCTCTTGCATCCATAGATGTATAAATAGAACCTACTGGGTTCATTAAATCAAACATATGAGATAATATAGGATTGTCTATTTTGAACTTAAAATATAGTGCAACTATTTCAGGTTTCTTCTGGTTTGTGTCAGAATATTTTTTATAATATAATCTTATGTTTTCAGGGTAGGTAAAATCTTGACTATAATATTTATTTTTGTCATCTGTATAATAATATACTATTCTCGTTTTTTCTATTGCATTATATCTTTTATATCTATAATAATCTAAATATAATGTTAGCTTTTGTTCATCTACATGTGGTGTTCTGTCGTCATCTCCATAGTCATAATAATATGGTGTTGGAGCTGGGTGAGGCAATGTCATATCTACCATTTCATAAACTCTTAAATATTTCTTTTGTTCGTCTCCATATAAGTTTAAGTAGCAGTTGTTGTCTAATGGAACTTTAACTTGTGTACCATTATTCTTTATATAGCTTACATACATTTCATTGTTATTTTTCGGAATGAGTTTACACCGTGCACCATTTTTTAAGGACTGTACCAATTGCCATCTAAAATATTTATTTTCTTCATTGACAGAAAAGTCACCAACAATAGTTTCAATATTTTTTGTTGTTCCTATCAAACTTTGGTATATTTCGTTGACATATTCATTATCTGCCTTCTTCTCTAACTCACCATTAACATAAGTTTTATCTGCTTTAAGGTCTAAACATCCTGAAACCCATCCTGTATCAGCTTTAGTTTTAAAAATCTTTGATGTCCATTCATGATACCATTCAACCCTTTCTTTAATTTCATTATCTTTTTCATCAACATAAACCAAATTTGCTTTCTTCATTAATTCACCGTTGACATATTCATTATCTGCCTTCTTCTCTAACTCACCATTAACATAAGTTTTATCTGCTTTAAGGTCTAAACATCCTGAAACCCATCCTGTATCAGCTTTAGTTTTAAAAATCTTTGATGTCCATTCATGATACCATTCAACCCTTTCTTTAATTTCATTATCTTTTTCATCAACATAAACCAAATTTGCTTTCTTCATTAATTCACCGTTGACATATTCATTATCTGCCTTCTTCTCTAACTCACCATTAACATAAGTTTTATCTGCTTTAAGGTCTAAACATCCTGAAACCCATCCTGTATCAGCTTTAGTTTTAAAAATCTTTGATGTCCATTCATGATACCATTCAACCCTTTCTTTAATTTCATTATCTTTTTCATCAACATAAACCAAATTTGCTTTCTTCATTAATTCACCGTTGACATATTCATTATCTGCCTTCTTCTCTAACTCACCATTAACATAAGTTTTATCTGCTTTAAGGTCTAAACATCCTGAAACCCATCCTGTATCAGCTTTAGTTTTAAAAATCTTTGATGTCCATTCATGATACCATTCAACCCTTTCTTTAATTTCATTATCTTTTTCATCAACATAAACCAAATTTGCTTTCTTCATTAATTCACCGTTGACATATTCATTATCTGCCTTCTTCTCTAACTCACCATTAACATAAGTTTTATCTGCTTTAAGGTCTAAACATCCTGAAACCCATCCTGTATCAGCTTTAGTTTTAAAAATCTTTGATGTCCATTCATGATACCATTCAACCCTTTCTTTAATTTCATTATCTTTTTCATCAACATAAACCAAATTTGCTTTCTTCATTAATTCACCGTTGACATATTCATTATCTGCCTTCTTCTCTATGTCATTAAGGAAACCTTTTATGAATTCCTCATTTAAATTAAATCTTCCAATCTTCAAAACTTTAGGAAATGCATTTAATGCGTAATATCTTTGTTCTTCTGGTGGAATTGATGTTATATCATCCGTTATCCCTTTAATTTTTGAATTCATAAATAAAATTTCTTTTATATTTGATATCACTGCACCACCTTTGCAAACGAATTCGAAACGCTCATTTTTCAATACTATCTCCAAATCTCCATATTTCAACCTTTGCGTTTGTTCTGCCGTCTTTGAATTATATGCATATATGGCGTATGTAATGGTCTGAAGGACCTGGGTGCTTTGCGCCTTAAGTTGCTGTGGTTGCTGTTGTTTAATCATTTATTATGATTTAAAAATATTTAATCCGTTATCTCATCAGCTATTTTTTCTATTTGAAATTGCCATAATATTTCATTCATAAATTCTAAATCACAATCAAATAGGTCAGTTATTCTAAATTTAATATTTGATAAATCTTTTGAATGAAGAATAAATGAATTCCCAGATAATTGAAACGGATATGATAAAGAAAATGTGTTTAAGTTGATGGATAAAATGTTTTGTATTGATGGGTAAGAGTTAGGGTCTAATGTTTGATGTGAAAATCTCATTGGGGTATTAACTTTATCACATTTGATTAAAATGAAATTGGAACCGGTGTCAGAATACAAAACATCCCCAACATCTTTTTCAAAATTTAATATCCCCAACAATGAACGAAGATGAGGAGTACAAAATTTAATTTTCAGCGGAAATTTAATAAGGTTATTTATTTCATCAAGTTCAAAAAGTTTATCAGGTTTTGATTTAAAATTTTCTTCATACCATACGATAAATGATTCATTTAAATAACTTAAAATCGTGTTAATATCCCATTTCGCTATCACATTATTTATATACATATCATACGTTTTTTCAAGGTCATCTTTAATAAATGATATATAATCTGAAGGGTCTAAAAGAATGGGATTAAATTTACCACTCACAGAAACGAGAGTAACATTATAAATTCCACTAACTGTTAAATTTAATTCACAACTATTATTCGAAATAATATTGATAATTGACATTTTTATTACGATTAAAAATATGGTAAAGCGTTATTTTCCAGTGATAAATAAAACTAGAATAAGATTACCTCAAGAATTCATAAATTCAACGAATAAGAAATTCATTCATGTTATAAATTTTAGTGTTTTCAGAAAATATGAGTCGATGTCATATTCATCAACAGGTTATATTTCACTTCATTCAAATTTAGTTCAATCAAACCCATATAATGACCATTTCATAAGATTTTCAGATGGTATTAAAAATGTAATTGATAGATTAAAATATGAACAGATTGACAATATCGAATTTTTGGAATTTTGGTTTAAATATCCTGATGGAAAAAAGATTGAAGTTAAAGATAAAGCTGATACTATAACAAAAACAATTACAATGACCGATCCGGATAGTGGGGAACAAAAAGAAATAAAACAAACGATAGAAACTGGTGAAAGGTCAATTATTATTGATTATGATTCAAAGGATTATTATTCGATAATGTTAATGCTTGAATATTAAATAGCCTTAACAAAGAATTTTTCAAGTGATATTTTATATTCATCAACTATTTTATTATAAATATTATTATATGTTAAATGAAGTTCAGTTGTTGTTCCATTCTTTGATATCTTAATTGTGCTAATATCCTTTATAGGATTTATTTTTGCAACTGTTCCGCAGCATGAAACCTCATCATCTATGAAAAATTGAATCTTAACGTCTGAATCTTGAACATCACAAAGAATGGCGATAATGTGAATTAATGATTCATAAGGTAAAATAATTAAACCGGATTGGTCAATTAAATTTATTATTGAATCATAATTATTAATTATTATATCACGGTAAATTTTCATTAATTCAGAATTGATGTTTATTTTATATGGGTTCTCGATGTTTGATGAAAGAGGTGGGGGTATGTTGGATAAGTGGGAATTTCAACAGGTTCTTTACCGGGTTCAGATAAAATGATTGGGTCTCCATTCTCATGGTTTTCTTCATTCTCCTCCTCCTTTTTCGGTAAGTCACGAGTTAATAAATTTGGTTGAGTTGCTGACCTCGTTAATTCGGGGCTAACATTAACTTTAACATTTTGAATAATTCGTGATTTATCATCATTTACGTTATAACCAACCGTAATCTCTGCTTTTGCGTTAGTGTTCTTTTGATTAGTGAAACGTCTTCTCATTTATATTCGAATAAAAAAATATATTTAAACTTTTATTTTGCTGGAACTTTTGAATCTATTATTCCCTGTATTTGTTCATGAAGTTGATTTTTAGCTGTTTCATCGAAATTAATAGACCGAATATATTCATTAATTGCATTCTTATAATCAACTGATTTCTCAAATTTTCTTTTATCTGATTCCTTAACTAAATCATAAGTTAAACCTCGTTGCTGATATAATGGTTTCTTAATTAAATCTTTGAATGCTTGAGATAAAGCACCTGATGCAATTCTTGCTACTATAATTGGTTGAAATTGCTGTTTAAGTTCATCTTTAACATTTGCGAAAACTGGATCGAATAAAGCAACTTTAAAGAATTTCTTAGCTGAAATTTCAGGTCTAATATTTGCATATTGACCATCAAACTGGTTAGAATATCGTGGTAATCCATCCGGTCCCTCTTCAATAGCATTTAATTCTTCATTGAAATAAGAATATGGATTATGACGGTATGAATTAATTGGACCATTTTCACCTTCTCCAATGTATTGTTTAACAGCTTTTCCATTTTCATCAAATTGCATAGGATAACGTTCATTATATGCTTTACGTTTAGAATAATCAGATATACTTAATTGTAACCATTTATGACTTTAATATTACCTTGACCATCAGTAACGAAAACTTCATTTATACCATCAGGTTTTCCATTTGGACCCGTAATGTCTGCTTCATGTGCTTCCCAATTTGGACCATGACGTTTGGCATATGCTTGAGCTTCTGGTAATGTTAAAACGTTTCTCATTTGTTTAACATCTTTTTGAAGACCAGCAACAATATGAACTAATTCTTTCATTCCATCTGGAACTTTCATAGTTCTATTATATGCACCCCTTTTGTTTGTCCCTTGTTTTAATGGAACCTGTAGAAGATTTGCTATTTCTGTCATGTTTAATTATAAATAAAAAATAAAAATTAATTATAAAAAGTTAATCAAATTTAACACTTCCTTTATTTAAATCAACTATTATTTTTCCATGTTCACCTAATTGCTGATATTGTGTATAAAGTTCATTAATGCTCATTGGTAAATTCACTTGATAAAGCATAACGTTCAACTGTTGACGACTAAACCCACTGAAAATGAAAAGTGTTGATAGATTTGATTTAATGTTTGTGCTTAATGCTTTGAAGTATTGAACAGCCATAAAGAATGAACACTGAATGTGTCGACATTGAGTTAATAACTGATTAAAATATGATTTCTCATTTGTTATTAGTTTTGATTTCACTGCATCATCTAGAAAAATGAGTGAATGCAAAAATTCTCTATCAAAATTTGAAATAGAAAGTGTTTCAAATAATTCATCCCGTTGTTTATCAATAATTTTATCCTCTAATCCTTGCTTCTTGATTGTATTATATAATTCTTTATACATTAAAAAGTTTTTTAAATAATCTTCTGCTTCTTCTTGTGATAAATAAATAATTGGAATTTTGATTAAATGCTTTAAAGATTCAAATGTATCATCTGAAGGTGAACCTGAACGGTTGATATAAATTAACACATGTGAATGGGGGAAGTGTTAGCAATAATGATAATTTGTTTTAATATCGTTAATGTTTTACCTTTATTCTGTTTACCAATTGCTGCAGTGATTGAATTTAAGTAACATTCAGAATATGGAATTTTCATTAATTTTTCCTTAGATAGAGCATTTCTATTATCACTCAATGCTTCATTAATCATATCATCTACGTATGTATTATATACTCCTGCTAATTCTTCATAAGGGGTGGATGAATTTAAATCCATTTAATCAAAAATAAATTTATAATTTTAAACATTTCTATTCATCAATATTTCATCATATGAACTTCTATACTGTGGTGGTGTACCTGTTGGATGATATTTCAAACCTTCATCCGGTGTCCATGTCCAATATGTAGTCCTAGTAAACCAAACCTGAGGAGGATTTGTCACCTTTGAACAGTAAGTGTCATTTTCACCCTGAATGATTGGATAAGCTTTCACTTGTACTGTAACTTGTGAGTTGAAAGTTTCTAATCCATCAAAGAATATACCCGCTCCATCACGTTGAACTGGAATAGTGCATAAGAATGAAGTTTGGTCTTTCCATGTTCTAGCTAATGGCGTGCCATCATCTGCATTCAGTGGTCTAGTTAATGAGTCCTCGTATTCTTCCGTGCATTCATTCACTCCATCTAAATCAGAAGCTTGAAGCATACGTGTAAAGAATATGTCACCCACTGTGGTCATCGCTTGATCGGGGAAGTTTCTGGAATCTATAGTGACCTGAAGACCTCGAAGCATTGGATTTTCTAAAACCGTTCTTTGCATTGCATTCTTCGGAAATGTTAACACAACATCTGTAACATTATGAAGAGCGTATGAGAAATCTGAGCTAATACCTTCAGGAGTGATGCAACCTCCATTTAGTGAACGAACGTCAATATGTTGAGCTGGAATCATGAATGGATCTTCCTTACTGAATAAACGTGGTATTGCTTTAACTGATTCTTCAATTAAACCATATCCTGGTGTAATGCATTTATCCTCTAAAACTTCCATCTTTGTGCATGAAATAATAACGTCATCAACTGTTGCGTCAGCAGATGTAGCGGCTAAGCTTGTAATTAATTTGGTAGGAAGTCCGATTTGTTGGAATTTGCGATCATATTTATAAACATGATTCATAATCTTTTCATAATTTTCATCAGTTATCTTTTCATAAACGTAATTTTGTAAATCAGCAACTCTTAACGGGTCAACCTGACAAAATACTAAAGTATCCCTGAAAACATAATATTTAAGAATGATATCACCAAATGATTTAGGATAATCATCGAACGCCTGAAATGCTAACAAATCATTTACCGGAATAATCATATCAAAAGTGACATCAACTTCTTCATTTGCTCTCTTGAAAACTTCTGAAGGGTCAATATATTTACCACATACTGAGTTATCATATTTTTGAACATTATTATATAACGAATGAACAAACTTTTTAACTTTCCTTTCTGATTTTGGTTTATATGTTGCAAATGCGAAAGATTCACGGGCGCAATCCATCTGAAGATAACCGGCATCACCTCTTTCGGTTTCTACTTCTAATTGTTTAAAGCTTTGATTTGATGATTTGTAACCAACGAATAAACGCATGCATTTAAAAGCGGCATCACATGTGAAAGCTTTATTTGAAACTAGAGTTGCTTTAACTTTGCGTTTAATATATGTGTCACCTAATTGGTTCACATCATGAGCTGGATTTGTAATTCTTAAATGAGTTTGTTTATCATCAAAATATGGAGCATCAGAGTCATAGCATGAACTTTCAAGTTCTCTATAATATCTTCTACCGTCATTCTTTGCAAATATTTCATTTATCTTTTCGAATGAATGAAATACATTTCCATTAATTGGTTTGGTGTTTGGCAGTAAATAGTTAGTCGTCATTTATTAATAAATAAAAAAATCAAAATTAAAAGATGGAAATGAATTTTTAATTTTAATGAAATAATCAACTATGGCTGCAGGTATATTTAAGAAACTGTGGGATAGAGTAAAAAGAGGGGCGAGTAAAGTTTGGGAAACATTGAAGAAGGGAGCAAATTGGATATTTAAGAATAAAGAAGCAATTAGTGACGTTGCTGAATCAATAACACCAAAAGCTGCCCCAATAAGAGAAATTTTAAATAAAGGAGAAAAAGTTTATCAAAGACTACAACCGATACTAAGATAAAAATAATATTTATTTTTTCCACTATCTACCTCCTATTTTATTAAGTATTCCTTCAGCAATTCCACCAACTGCGTTACCTGCTTGTGCTCCCATCGCTGGATTACCTGCTTTAGTACCTAATACTCCACCTATGATAGTTCCTGCCGTTTTCGCTACTGGTGCCAAAAAGTTTGCAACAGGTTTAATAACCTTTTTATAAACCCAACCTGCAGCTTTCTTAATTCCTTCCCATAATTTTTTAAAGAATCCTGCCGCCATTTCTGATTTAATATTAATTAAAAATTTATTTCATCACTTATATTCTAATTTTTATTTAATGATAAATGAAACCGATTTTAAAAATAAATGAAACAGAGGAGGAAGAAATAAATGAAAGTGAAAATGTTCAACAAAAAATAAACGGAGAGAGGGTCAAAGTTGCTATTTGTCACTTTTCCACAAGAATATAATGGGGAAAAAGTTATCATATAGTTGATCTCATTCACTGAGGTGAGAGATGCATGTAGTGTAATGGGATAAACAGTGGGATTGCTGCTCTAAGTCCTAGCTTCGAGACACATTGGCTTCATTTTTCTCTTTTTTATTGACGTAAACTATTCAATTTTTGTGTTCTCCATTCAAATTTCAGAATTTTTTTGCAGATTTCACGCTACATTCGAAGTTACCTTTTGTAACAACCACCACTGCCTACGAAAGACGAAAGTGTGTCACGATTTCACCCGGAAATCCGACGGTTGTTTAAGAGTAAGCACTTTTGGCACCTACTCAAAATAAACGTTGTTAAACCAATTACTGAAATAAAATTTTTTTCATCTGTTGAAGAATTTAATGACTATTATGCTAATAATAAAAAATTATTTGAAGAATTGACAACATGTAAATTGAATAAAATGTTTAAAGTTGATGGATTCAAAATTTCAAAAATAAAAGGAGTGATTAGTTTGAAATCTATTCCTCAATCAAGAATCACCTCATTAATGAAAATTGATGATTTAACAAAAAGAATAGAAGAGATTGAAGAAAGAATGAATCAAATAATTGATTTCATAAATTCAAATAATCATTAGTTTCAATTTATTTTTAAAGTTTATTTTACTCGTTTATGACTCCATTGATTCCAATCAGGATTTAAACAATAATTAATAAATACCATCCTCCTTTCATTCCTGTTGTCAAAATGTCATGTTGTCACATTTTTTCAGAGAAATTAAATTACCTGGTGACCTGGTGACCTCATCAGTTATTCAAAAATAATGAATTATTGAATAACCTGACATCATCTATATATAGCTTCTTTTATAAAAGATCAAATAAATTATTTATGTATGGGCTGAGTGTAAATGTGGATGACATAAACGATTTTGTATCATTTTTTTAATGATTTATTCAAAAACGTAAGAATAAAAACCGTAAGAATCATACATTTTTTTAATGATTTATTCAAAAACGTAAGAATAAAAACCGTAAGAATCATACATTTTTTTAATGATTTATTCAAAAACGTAAGAATAAAAACCGTAAGAATCATACATTTTTTACTTCATATGTTAATTTTTTTAATGATTTATTCAAAAACGTAAGAATAAAAACCGTAAGAATCATACATTTTTACTTCATATGTTAGAAAAAATGATACAAAATCGTTCAATATCGTATGAATTCTTACGTTTACAAAAAAAGTCACACAACCCGCACTTATATACTACTGATATTTTTGCTATCGGTTTCGCAATTTTGACACAATAGCAAGAGGGTTCTATATGCATTATTATCAACGTAGAATCTGAATATCATATCAGAAAATGTCGCAAATCTGACATTTACCCGACAAAATAGCAAAAATAATTGAATACTTTTCGCAAAAACTTTAAAAATCGATAAAAATATGAAATATAGATATTAAAGAGACTTTTTATATAATATTCATAAAGATTTTCCAAAAATATGATACCGCAAAATTAAAAAAGTGACGTCTTGAGTGGAGTCAAAGGTCGAAATTGCTAGCTAAATGTTTTTTTAGCGAAATTGCGTATTGTACTTTTTTTTTTTCGCAAAACGAAACCCTTATATGACATAATAAATTGTGTATCAACATATTTTTCCAGTATTGGAATTTCAAGACCGTTAATGTTCCAAAACAATAGTCACCAAAAGGGTATTAATGAGGAATTCTGCATTTTCAAGAGAAAATCTTATATTGTATAGCAATTAGCTGAAGAGTAATTGCAACAATAGAAAAGAATTGAGATAAAAACTATTTAGTAATGAATACAATAATTTTTATTTACGAGCTTATCATAAATTAAAGCAAAATAAAGAAATAGAAATAATATTATATTGAAAAAGAATATAAAGAATCGTACATTTACATGGCTAACAATTAGTACTTCCCATTCATTTGGTTTAAAAATGAATCGAGGTCACCTGGTTGATTTGACTTGAAATCCCAGCATTGAACTGGTTGAACAGTAACCTGACGTTGTGGTTGTACATGTTGCATTGGTGGCTGAACCATTTGCTGTGGTGGTGGCTGCATTGGCTGTGGTTGTGGTTGAATTGGTTGTGGAGCCATTTGTTGCCTCATTGGTTGCTGGATCATAAATGCCTGCTGAGGAGATGGGCCAAGAAGATCTCCGAGATGAGGAGCTGAAAGTAAATGTGCGGGGAATTGAATTTGAGATGAAATTGCCATTTGGGAACCTGTCATCGGTGGATTTAATAATCCGCCTGGCAAAATTCCGGAATTGGTGTATGTTCTATTTGATCTACTAAGTGGAAGATACCCAGATGAGGTCTTCATTTCGTTTGTTAATTGGAGATAGTGATATCTGCACTGTACATCTGATCTATTGCCAAGGATATGAGCGATTTTGGCCCAAGACTTGTTACCGTAGATCCTAACGTAGTTGAGAAGTTGGGAGTCTTCTTCTGGTGTCCAGCCCTTCTTACAAATCTTTGGATTAAGGCCTCTTGTCCATCTTTGAGCGCATTGAGCTCTAGTTCTGCCACCTCCAACAAAATTTGCCACTCGAATCCAACTATCAAAGCCAAATCTAAAGATACCAGCTACGAGTCTTTGGTCTTCATAACCAGTCCATGTACGAGTCTTTTTCCTGCCTGATGTTTCTTCTATCGATTCCGGTAAATCCTCGGGTTGATCAATAGGAGAATCGCTGACATTTAGAATATCATGAGCTACTTGAACCGGGATATCGGAATGCAAGGTTTTGACATAAAAGTCGCGTGCGGCATCATAAGTGACTTCACCAGTGATAAAATCATGAAGGACTTTTCGTAACTGCTCCTCAACCTCAGGACTAACATCTACCTGAACATCTGAAATGTAGGAGTAGCTATATTGAAGTAAAAGGGATACATTAGCTTCGGGTGGCGAAGACATTGCTAAAGAAAAAAATAACAGATAATCGATATACTCTCAATTTTTTGTATCAAAAAGTGCCAAAATTGTAAAATATTTCCTTTTCAATTCAACCGCTTTTTAACAACTTATATATAATTGTTGCATGCTAAGTTCGGTCAACGATAGAAATTGAGTGGAAATTAATCGTCGAGGAAGTACGATTATGTAAAGTAAAAAAATGTTGTGGGATTTTTAATATTATATATTATTTTATAATAAATTTTTTTGAGTCATTTTAAGAAGCACATATAATTTTTTGAATTTAAAAATTAAAGTAGTGTCAAACGAATTTATCACTTAATTTAATACTCAGATTTCTTAAAATTAATGAAAAAAAGGTTTTCTGAGAACTTTTGAGAATGGTTTTCAAATTCCATTATTGAAAATATATAGGTATTGTATGAAATTCAAACTCTATATTTATTAAAATTCTAAATTTTTAATAAAATAACTTTTCAGAGGAATATGATTTTGAATGGTTGATTAATAAGTATAAAAATGTCTACGATTTTAAGGAGGGAATTGTTCCTTATGAGGTATACATCATAACTATATACCTCATAAGGAACAATTCCCTCTTGATAGCTGGGAAACTTTCTCTGAATAACTTATCATTTGGAGAAAGTTCCCCAGCTATCTATTAGGAACTAAAGGCTATGAGGCACTAATATATAATCAGTGCCTCATAGCCTTTAGTTTCCTATTAAAAACGAGAAAACTTGTTCGAAATGATAAACAATTTCGAATGTTATAGACCGAAAATAGATTTTTTCGGTTTTCTCTTCAAATAATTGAAAGAATGATACTATTATAGGTTTATTATATTATATAGCATATAATCATGCTATAGCCGAAAATTATAAGTTTTGAGAAGATTGAATATAACACAAATAAATTTGAATGTAAGTTAAATTGCTTGTTGTTTTTAATAGCTATTTAATGAGAAATCCAATATTGCAAAATTCAAATTGAATGATTGAAAGAACAGAAAAAGTCATTCTTTTCAATTTCGAATATGTTTCATTGTATTTATAATTATATGGCAAATAAGATATTTAAACTTGATTTTTGAAGGAAAATTCACAAAATTGAATAAATTCAAATAATTTTTATTCAAAAATAAACTAGTTATTTGAGTTTAATACTAATTATCTATTCAAACTACAAAGTTTGTAATTTAAAATATTTTGTGAGATCAGATTGAATTAATTCAAGGTTCTTTTCAATTAATATTCATGACCATATTACGCATTTTCGAACATTCTAAACCAAATATATAAAAATGGGAGACAAATGTTAAATTTGCTAGACATGGGGGAGTTGTCTGCAAAGTTTTAGCTCTTATCTCTAACAAAAAATTAATTTTTAAAAAAATGACCGAAAACGTTTCACAGCGTGAAAAAAATAAAAGGCAAGATAGAATTTTCTAGATATAAAGAAGTTGTTTACCGAGTTTTAGCTCTTATCTCTAACAAAAAATTAATTTTTAAAAAAATGACCGAAAACGTTTCACAGCGAGAAAAAAAATAAAAGGCAAGATAGAATTTTCTAGACATAAAGAAGTTGTTTACCGAGTTTTAGCTCTTATCTCTAACAAAAAATTAATTTTTAAAAAAATGACCGAAAACGTTTCACAGCGAGAAAAAAATAAAAGGCAAGATAGAATTTTCTAGACATAAAGAAGTTGTTTACCGAGTTTTAGCTCTTATCTCTAACAAAAAATTAATTTTTAAAAAAATGACCGAAAACGTTTCACAGCGAGAAAAAAATAAAAGGCAAGATAGAATTTTCTAGACATAAAGAAGTTGTTTACCGAGTTTTAGCTCTTATCTCTAACAAAAAATTAATTTTTAAAAAAATGACCGAAAACGTTTCACAGCGAGAAAAAAATAAAAGGCAAGATAGAATTTTCTAGACATAAAGAAGTTGTTTACCGAGTTTTAGCTCTTATCTCTAACAAAAAATTAATTTTTAAAAAAAAGACCGAATACGTTTCACAGCGAGAAAAAAATAAAAGGCAAGATATAATTTTCTAGACATAAAGAAGTTGTTTACCGAGTTTTAGCTCTTATCTCTAACAAAAAATTAATTTTTTAAAAAAAGACCGAATACGTTTCACAGCGAGAAAAAAATAAAAGGCAAGATATAATTTTCTAGACATAAAGAAGTTGTTTACCGAGTTTTAGCTCTTATCTCTAACAAAAAATTAATTTTTAAAAAAATGACCGAAAACGTTTCACAGCGAGAAAAAAATAAAACTGTACACTGATTTTCATTTTCATTTCCAGTCACTTTACTTATTATTTTTTCTTTTTTTCATTTTAATTATAAATTATTTCATAATACGTTTATTTACGTTACCATTTTCTTTATTCTTTTGAATTCCATACTAGACACTTATAGAATATTTTGATTGTTAACATACTTCATTAGAATGAATCCTTACAAAGGGTATGTCGATCGAATTTACCTAATTGGTATTTCCAATCAGATTGAAGAAGCTAAAATGACATGGGAAGAAGCTTGCACCCATGTTCCCATCGCCCCAACCCTTCAATCAAATGATTTCAAATATTTAGATGTTTCAAAATCTTTTTTACAAAATCAATTTAGCTTACAGAATATCCCATTGCCTAAAGGCAAGAAAGGTCGTAGGGTCAATCCCTACGACCAAATCAAAGCTCTTGCTGTGATACATGACCACTGGGCCTTTCCCTGTGGTCAAACAAAACAATGGAAACGTTTGAAATTACAACAAATTGATGTATCTTATAGAGAAGTACGCAGATACTTCAAAGAAAATCATTTCAACAAGACGCGATTAGAGCATGCCGAGCCAGAAACAGCAGTAAGATATTGGGCGCTTTCACCCAATCTTATCTGGCACGCAGATGTTCATTATTTTAGGGGTGTTCGTGGCCAGTATATTTATGGCATAATCGACGATTTTAGCCGCAAAGTCCTAGCGTATATACAAATACCAGATATGCTGGCAGCGACGACAGCAAACGTTGCGGCTTCCGCCTTCATTGAATTTGGCGCCCCTTATTGTTTCTGGACCGACAACGGTTCAGAAAATAGGGGCGCCTTTCAAGATCTACTTGATCTTTGGGGCGTCCAATGGCGGCATACAGACTCTCATTCTCCCTACCAAAATGGGAAGATTGAGAGATTCTGGCCGACATTGGAGCGCTGCCAAAGCATTCAGGCTATTCCTGCCTTTATTTGGGAGTACAATAATAACACACCGCAAGTTAGTATCCCTAAGTTGCGTACTGTGGCACTGCGCGCCTCCGTACACCACTTAGCGGTTTTGACACTTTACGAAACCGGTAACGTATATTTTACAACACAACCATAACACCAACTTAACCTTAAATATTTACAAAACCATCTGACACTAATGACTTCACTAACGACTTCACTAATGACTTCACTAAATAAAAAATAACCTTATTTTTATTTTTTTAAATTTTTTATTTCATTACAAAGACATGTCTGACTACATTTACTATGACTCTTTCCCAGAACGTTTCCGTGAACTATTCAAAACTCAAGTAAAACTGAGAAACATGCATTTTAACAAAGACAGACCCATTGACGATGAAAGAAACCCTGAATATATTACAATCCCATATGACGCAAAGTTCATTGCATACATTCCTTATGGTCGCAGAGGAACGAAAACTATTTCAACAAAGAACAAAAATTATTTCTGGAGCGATGAAGAAAATTGCCTTATCTACATAAATACATACTTAAATAAAGCTACATATTGTACAAAAGAAGGTTGGACTGGATTTGAGCTCTACATATACGACGACGATGGAAACAGACGTTGTGTATACCCATACGATAATATGTACCATTGTTTTCATCAAGCATTAAACGAATACATAGTCAGTAAGGGTCTCATTCCTGCTGAGTAGAAATGTTATATTTTTGTTCTGTCATTTAGAAAAAAATAAACTTAAAATAAATGATATCACCACCCTCACACGTATGAAAACATAGCACAAAAATAAATTTAGGTGAAGTGGTGAAATCTCACCTGTTTTTTCACCCTGTTGAATTCATTGCTTTATAACTCTCTTCCTTTCTCCAACTCTTCTAACTTCTTCTTAAGTTCAGCAATGTTGTCCTCATGAAGTTTAATCTTTCTCAAAATTCCTTCTTTATCTAATGGTTGCTTTATCTTTCTAAACTGAACTCTACCATCCTTCATAGTATGAATGTAAAAACCTTCTGGAATAGTTCCTGATTTAATGTATTCTACCAAAAACTTTTGTTTCATTGCTTCAGTGACTTTAGTCGTCATTTCAATCAAATAAAAATTTTAATATTAAATAAAAATAACGTTATTTTTTTCAGTAAGGAAACGCAGGAGTTTTACGATTTATTTGAGGAGTAGGTTCTGGTTTAAATGTTGGAGTCGGTTTAGGAGTTGACTTTTGAATAGGAGTTTGTACTTCCATAGGTTCAGGAGTCATTGAAGGTTTTGCTTGTGAAGGCGTTGGTTTTGACGTTGGTTTTGGCGAAGGTGTTGGAGTTTGTTTAACTTCAGCTACTTCAGTATTATTTACAACATTTGCTTTATTTCTTTTCAACATCATAACTGCTACTGCTGTAGCTAGCAAACCTAGTGGGAGACCATATTTTATATAAGGACTTGACCAAATGCTATTTTTGACAGGAGCTGGTGGAACACCTAACCTTGGTGAGACTGCTTTTGCCATTGTGCAGCTCGTAAGAAATATTCAATAGGTGCTCCATAATCGTTTGGTAAAGTTTGTTTCACAGATGGTGAAGGTTCACGAGAGCTTGATGAAGAACTCATTTATAAGCTTTAAAATAAACGTTCATCCTTTATTCCTCACTGTCGTCCGTAGCTAAGTTATAGTCATCTAATCTTATTATGGGGATTCCATTAGCACGCACCTGAATGGCAAAGCAACAATCCCTCATAAATCCAATAAGTG